ACAGGGCGACCAAGGCAGTTTCCGTCCCATAACCCGGCCTGAAACCCGATTGAAATGGATCTAGATAATCCGTTTCATCCAGGAGAGCCTGGAGCTGCTCAGCCACCACACGTTCCAACACCTTGCCCAGAAAAGGGAGGTTTGCTATTGGACGATAGTTGTTCACTAGACCTGGATCCAGATTAGGTTTTTTTAGGAGTGGGCGAATCACTGCCTCCTTTAATGGGGCAGGAACCACTCCCTCTCTTAACGAGGAGTTGATGACCTCCAGGATCCAGGTGCAAACTCCCCTGGCAGATTTCTTTATTAGCCATGATGGGCAAGGGTCGAGTTGTGTAGTGGTGGCACGAACCGATCCAAGCACCCTGTCCACATCCTCAGGTCGCAACAACTGAAACTCATCCAATAAATTATGACATAAGTCCGGAGCACTGGACACAACCATGGGCTCTGCATCAACAGTGGAGTCCAAATCTTTGCGAATCTGAGCAATTTTTCCCTCAAAGTGCGTAACAAATTCGTTACAGCGAGCCACTGAGGAGTCCAGGACCTCCACCGAACCATTAGGTTGAAGAAGGTCCCGGACCACTCGAAATAGCTCTGCTGGACGACACACCGAGGAAGCGATACGGCTGGAGAAATACTGGCGTTTCGCCAGCCGTATTGCCACAGAGTAGGCCCGATAATGGGCTCTAAGCTGTGTTTGGTCATAGTCGCAGCGATATTTCCTCCATCTGCGCTCAAGCCGTCTCCCCAACCGTTTCATGGCCAAAAGCTCCTCTGTGTACCATGGAGCCTTATAGGCTCTGCGGGCAGGGAGAGGGCGCCTAGGTGCGATCGTGTCAACCGCCCGGGCCATCTCCTTGTACCACAAGGCGACCTGGGCTTCGACAGGAGCGCCGACCATATCAGCTGGAAACTCCCCTAGAGCATTCAGGAATCCTTCAGGACCCATAAGTCTCCGGGGGCGGATCATTTTAATTGATCCCCCACCCCTGCAGAGGGTAGTAGTGGCTGAGAGTCTAAATTTTACCAGGAAATTTTACCAGGAAACTTATCTTTCATGTTCAGGTCCAAAGTGAACATGGCAGCATTTCCAGAAAAGTTCAGTGTGGAAGGGCATAGGACCATAATCAAGTTCCTGTTTCTCCAAGGGAAAGGTGCAAAGCAGATCCATGATGAAATGTCACAAACTATGGGTGACAGTGGCCCTTCATATGCAACAGTTAAACGCTGGGTTGTGCATTTTAAAACTGACCATTTCGGTGTTGAAAGTGAAAAACCCAGTGGAAGGCCTGTTTCTGTCTCTGTGCCTGCAAATGTGAAAGCCATCCATGACATGATCATGGAGGACCGCCGAATGTCAGCCGAAAGTATTGCTATATATCTGAGAATATCACGTGAGAGAGTTGGTGCCATTATCCACAACGACTTGGAAATGAGAAAGCTGGCAGCAAAGTGGATCCCCAAACTGTTGACAACAGAACAAAAGAGGAAATGTGTGGAGTCATTGGTGGGTGTTTCGGAAATTTTGCAAGAAATGAGTCAGATTTCCTGAGCAAACTGGTAACTGGTGATGAGACATGGATCTACAGTTATGATCCTGAGACACAGGAACAGTTTAAGGAATGGAGGTACAGTGGTTCCCCCAGGCCAAAGAAGTTCCCGACTTCCTAGGGGAATATGTAGAATAGTGTGGCTGTTACAGTTTCCTAGCTCAATTATTTCTGGGAAAGGCTCAAGACTTATCAGCACCCGCTCGTAACAACATGCCGTTAGTCTGCAGTCATGCCATTTTCTTTAATGAGAGTCATTTTCTGTCCCACACCCTATCCTGCTCCCCACTTCAGCATGAGCCTTGACCCTGTGTGTAGCATTTGGGGGAATAGAGGAGCTGCTGTTTAGGAAAGTGGCCATGGAAATATTTTGTTAGTCCGGCTACCTAATCATAAACCCAGATCCAATCCACACTCTTCTCTCTGTTATATTTTTGAATTTGTTCATTATAATTCTTTTTCAACATACAATTATTATCATGGTCTTCCAACTTTTGTGTAGTTCATTTTTGAGGGGGAGAGCAGGGATTTGTATATCAGATACAATATTAGTTGTATGTACTTAAAATTGTTCAACAGTTTACATGACATACAGTTTTAATTAATAAATAAATACATATTACTTATACCAGATGTTATAATGAACTAAAGCACAGTGATTTGGAGGAAAAATAAAGCATTATTAGTTCATCTTGGCTTTAAAAATAAGCAGTCAAATTATTTTAAATATATTTAGTAATGTTGCTTATGCTTCCATGTGATACACAATAATTATTAAAAACTGCCTTACATGTTTCTGAAACTGAGACCATATGGTTGAATAGTTGTTTTTTAAAAGGGAAGCTTTGTTACATATATGACTTTCTTGCATATATAGCTACATATATGTCAGAGCTGTACATTATGTGCCTATCTATGGCTGTAACTGATTTATTTTGAAGGCAATACTATAGAATGCCACTGCCTTATACTAGCATTAGACATACACATTCTATGAAATCATTTCATTTTTTCCCCATCTCACTCACTTTCACTCTTATTTTTCACATTCTTTTGTGAGAGATAGAGAAAAATGGGCGGGGGAGAAAGGTGACTGCCTTGTAGGTTCTAACAGACACATTTTACTCCATGGAAGAATTGTCTACTCAGGGGACACAGGCAGGGGAAGGAAAAGTATTGCCTTTTGGCCATAATGAGTCCGTGGCCCCAGTTTGGTTTTCCCATTCTTCTTCAGGCCGACAAACCAGTTCTTGTCTGCATGCATCTTTGATGTGTAAGTGTTATAATGGTTTTCTTCCATTCTTTCCAGGAACAAACACTCCTCCGTTGGCAACTGCTGAAGTAAAGAAAAAAAGGATGGGGCATTCATAATGGGAAGCAAATGCTCTTCTGTCAGCCAGAGCATGAAAGTAACAAGTTACATGTAATGGTGGGCTGTACAAGATGCTACAGAGAGTTCATTGTTAGAAGTGGCAGATCCTTAAGCCATGTGATCTTAATCCCACAGGCTTTTCTCATCTCCTGTAGGTTGTAAATTATTTTGCTTTATTCTGTGACTAGTAATCAGGAATTAAAATGCTGTCTTAGTTTACATTCTGATTGCTCTGGCAGATGCTCTCTACTTCCAGAGAATTATGTGGTGTTTTTTTTGTGTGTGTTAAGTATAGAGTCTCAATTGAGCCATAGTTACTACTTGTAATAAGCTATTTACTTTTAGTGTAGCAAAGTTACATTCCAGAAATAATGTGAGCATTAAGTTATTTTGCAGGTGCAGTGAGTAACATTTTCTAGTTTTTAAAAGATATATTTCAAGGATATTTTCAGACATTTTAAAGACATTTTGACTTGGGTTTTAAATTCTCTTTTCAGACCGTTTTCTTTACATTGCTTTTAAAAAGAAAATAATAACTATCAGTGCAACAAATTACTTTTAAGCATTGTAACAAGTCGATAACAAAGAATAATGACTAACAGGAACAAATTACTTGTTAAAAGTAACTTACAGAGTGTGCTGATAAAACTAAAGGGCTGGAACAACTGTTACTAGATTGATGAGTGTGGGAGAGACCTACTGGATTTGATCCACATGGGCGGGCAAGCCTTGGACACCTGTCTGCACCACATCTGGCCTAAACAGCCAGGTGAACTCTTTGGCTCTTTGATGTCTTCAGTTCATCACGGCTCATTCAAGTCAGTCCCTTCTCTGTCAAGGTTGCCAGTAACTCTTCCCACCCCTCCAGGTTAATGGACGAGAAGCGTGGACTGCACTTCTCCTCCTGATTGTTTACCGTAGAGTTATATTTGGCTCGGTGTTGCTAATGGCATCACCCTCTGTGATTTGGCAGCAGAAGGAAGAAGCACTGCTCCCTTCCAAAGATGAAATCCAATATCTGAAAGTATTTTGGAACTTTGTTTCCAATTGTTTTGTTTGTTTTTCCAGAAATAAAGCTGGGCAAAGAGGTGGGAATCCAGCTGCAAAAACAACAAACAGCAGCTAATTGCTGCTTGTGGGTTATGTTACCCTGTGCGACAAGATTTCTGCAGACCTCAAAGCCTCTCCATTCCTGATCCCACGGAAACCTCATACTTACTGAGCCATATAAACGTCCACTGGCATCCATAGCCAAGTAGTGTCCGGACTCGGTGCTCTTTATGTACACCTCACCCACATTCTCTGCCGTCAGCAGCAACTGAACTGCAGTGGAAAATAAAAACAACACCGCCAGGAAGGTAAAAAAAGGGTTCTGAAGGCACATGATGTCACCCTACTACTAAAGCCAAAGATGTCCACTCCTCTGAGCAATCTGGAAGAACTGTGGGATGTAAATGCCATTCAGAGAAGAGCAGTAAGAACTCCAACAATCAAAGGGTTAGTCAATGCCTGGAACATGGTTCTCCTTGCTTAAGTATGTAAACATGTGCAAGTAAATAAATAAATATATCTCAGAATAACAGTGCAGAGGACACAGGGACCTACCTATAAAAGTGGGTAAGGAGCTGCATGTAACCTGTAGGCCATTGCCTTGCCCACACATGACTAAGCATGCCAAGTCTCAGGGTTTTGGCTCAGGTCTCATGGAACTGCTGGACTTCTCAAGGGGTCAAAGCCCAGGTTCAGAGGAATGTGTGTGTTTCCTGTTTCTTAACACAACATTTACACCCCATCAATGTCATCTGCTTTGTTAGGTGTGTTGTGTTGCTGGAATCTGACATGCAAAAGAAGCCATTGTTTACATTAGAGGGATAGTCCAGATGTGCAGATGTGTTTTTCCTTTTCTTGTGTGTTCACTGTGACACCTCTTTTTGCCACTTGAGGGAGCATTCCTTCTAGAAATGGCTTTCTCTGAACATGGCCCTCAGTCTCCAGGAAAGGAGATGGATTTCAAGGTTTGCAACACCAGAGAAGGGGAAAGATAGATTTTTCTGTATGAAATGACTGTAAAGCCTAAGCACCCAGCTCCACCCAGTCCTAGTTCACATGTGGTGGTGGGTCAGTACAAGCGTATTTGCATTCACCTGCCTCACACCATGAAATCACAAGGACCCTTCCCTGGTACCAGCATTTGGCCCCGAATAACAGAGAGGGAGATGCTACTGACCTGGTAATACTTAAGACCTGACCCCTCTCATTGGCCCTCTCTTCTCCAAAGTTGTACCTTCCCCACTTAGGATCTGTTTCATTGTTTCTTGGAGGTGGTACATGAGGGCAAGAGTCAACCTCCCTTCCTCCTTCATCACTGCTTGCATAGCAAGCTAATCAAGTGGGGAAATGGAGCTGCAGAGAGGGCAAGGCTAAGCAGGGAAACTAGTCAAGTATTATTTTGTCCTTTATTACTAGCTTTCTTGGCTTTGATGTTGAGCACTATGAAAGAAGATCTGCCTTTGCAGCACCAAGCAAGGAAAATGGATGGTATATGGATGTGTGTGTGCACGCGTGTGTGAATAGGAGACAGTGTAGGGCAAATGATTGCTTGATGAATGTGTGCAGTGAATTGAACGTTATTATTGCTCCTGCCCACTATGGCTCCACCATCTGACAGGTTACACCTCAAAAAACGTGGCCACAGTGAAATTTAAAAGTTCACATCCCTAATTTAGAGACTGATGTTCTTATTGAGAGTATCAAAAATAGTGTTTGCATTCTTTTAAAAATCTATTTTAATTTATCTTTTAAACATTTATTTAAAAACCTAAAATTTTGACTTTAATAGTTCTATGTTGGAGTTGTAAATTCTGACTCTCATAGAAACTGTTTTGCTTCTTGCATTCCTTTTCTTTACATTAGAATATAGCAGTAAGTCTTTGCCGCAACAATAGAAAATTGTTGATTAATGTTTACCCAAATGTATGCTTTCCTCTAGATTTGCAAAATCCATATTTGCATGTGCTGGAACCTAAATTTAAGGGGAAATCCTCATTTAGTACTAGGCGTAATCCTATTGCGGAACTTTACACTGAATTACTGTGATCATGTCATTAACTTGGCCATTTTGTGGAACTGGCAGCATTGATTTTCAAACATCAACAAGTTCTCTCCCCACTTCCATTGGAACCTGGGTTGAGGGGAAGTAGGAAGCTTGTAATTCCCCTCAGGTGACTGTGGCTGATGACACCATCACAGTGGCACAACAAAACGTTGTACAATAGAATTCTGGTCTTTTGTGATAGGTTACATTCATTAAGCAGCACTGGATGAATTTTTCTCTGATGCTGGTGAATGTCAGAATTGTCCAAAATCTGTGGGGCTCAGAGCATGGAATTTAGCTAAATGGTTCTTGCTCCTGTCACTAGAGCCAGGGCTACACTATATCCATCATTATCCATCTATAGAAATGCTATTGGCATATATGAGCTCAAATGGCTGTAGGAAGTGAAGGCACCACCCAAGTGTACTTCCATAGTCAGCACCAAGACTTTTACTCTATAATGAGGGTTATTCCACTGGCACATATCCGTTTGAGGAGTTTCCTCTGTAAATATTTTTTTCATCAGGATGTCCAAGTTTAATAGCTCATTTACTCTAAGCTCATTTCTGGCACGGGCTAACAAACATACCTCTTTAGGAAGCAATACTGGCTACATACAAAGTGTTTCCAGAAAAGAAAAGAAGTCTCTAGTGAGACAGTGGTGCATGATGGGGAAAGGTGTTTTTTCCCCTTCGCATTTTCCCTTCATAGCTGTGCTGGCTGACCTGTCAGAGGAGAGCAATCCATCATCAAAAAAACCACAGCTGGACATTGGGAAGGTCTGGATAAACTCTTTGATACCACAAGATGTGGAGATGAAGCCATTAGCTTGGATGGCTTTCCAAAGTTCAGACAAATGTAGTGGGCACTGTCAACAGAATTTTAGCAATAACACCAAACTCAACTTGTATATACAAGTACATAGGTTGAGAAATAACGAGATGGGGTTACTGAGCATGTTGCACAAGGGAGTGGGAGACTTAGGCTCCAACCCCCCCTTTGACCAAGAGGTTTACAAGGTGATTTCAGACTTGCCCCTTTCTCTCATCCTGACCTATGTACCTCACAGGGTGATCATGAGGGTAAAATGTATATGAGAGAGATGGAGACAGAGGCCATTAGGGGAAAAGTGGAATGCCTATTTAACACAATAAATGACAAATAATAAGCCATATAAGGACCATACATTTAAAAGCTGGCTGGATAGCTCTGTGAGTTGGAGTACCTGGCTGTGGGGCCAAGGGTCAAGAGTTCAATTCCTCACTGTGTCTCCTTGGAGAAGAGCCAGTCTGCGTAGCCTTGGGCAAGCTGCAGTCTCAAAGCAACCCCAGAAGAAGGAACTGGGTAAACCACTCCTGAGTGCTTTATACCTAGGAAATGCTACCAAAGGTTGTAATAAGTCAGAATTTATTTTGCTTCCTGAAGCACCCTGTCCCTCATTTCAGATACAAAAACTGGCTAGAATGCCAGTTTATTCATAGTTCCATATTGATGGCGGCATAGCATCTTTCACTAGCCCTGAGGGCATCAGGTCAGTTTAGGGAGTTACAAGGCATAAGAACCTCTGCCCGCCAACAAAAGGGGAGTAATGGAGGGGGAAAGCTCAGGAGGAACCACCAAGTGACTGCTTTTGCCTCTCAATATCTGCCACCTGGGACCATTGTCTCCCTCTGTCCAATGTTAGGGATGGTTCTGGAATTTGTGTATGTTCTTAAGACACAAGAGGATCTGCACTCTAAAACTTCAAAATGGACTGAGTTCTGTGGGACATGCTTTCTACTAAAAGAAAACCAAGACCATTTCCAGCAGCTTCACCAAAGACCAAAGGAGGCATTTTCAGCACCATGGGAAGGAAGTCTCTCCAACTGTTTCAGAATGAAAAGGGGTCTAACAATTTTTCAGATGCCAGGCCTTAATTCCTACAGATGTAGGAGCTGAACATGAGAAAAGTTACTTAGAAGAAGAATACTCAAATTGCCCCAGTGACCCTGACTGGTGGATGACCCTTTGTCATCCAAAAACGTTAACATCCGCAAGCTCTGAACGCTTTTAGTGTTCTGGGTTGAATTGCAAACAAATTCACCAGTCCCTCTGTTATCCTCGCATTTCAAATATAAGTAACAAGAGGCTGAAACAGAGGTGGTTGATTTGTGTCCATCCAGATGTTGTTGAATTACAACTTTCATAATTTATCATCATGTTTGACAGGAGTTGCAGTCCAGTTTCATGTGGAAGGAGAGTAGACCTTTTGAAATTAACGCTGATTTGTTAACTAACTTATTCACTTTATCTATGTACTCCAGGTAGGAGTAACATTGGATTTAGCACAGATACTACAAACATTGTGGTACAGGAGAATAACATAAATGGATTACTGGCAAGTATACATAGACTGTGGGCTTATTCGGATGGAACGTTTGGTGTCTTTAAAAGCAACTCTTTTACAATTTTTGAGAAAATCCGTTAGAAAGCAGCTTCTCTACTGGTTTTTTTTTTCTTTTGCTGTTGTTATTTTAGTAGATTAGCACTAAATTGAAAGTTTCCAACATGAAAAGCATGACCTTTGTCTCAGTAGAAACTGAAACAACAAAGCCAACAACAGCAAACCCACCTACAAGAAGCAGCTTTAAAAAAATCTGCAAAACCAAAGTTTTTGTCACTTTTTGTCACTTTTGATTCCAGTTTAAGTTTTGTATTGCCTGGATGGTGGGGAAAATACCAATATCATCCAGTTGGTCCGGGATGACCCTTACATGACAGTTCTCTATGACTTCTAATGTGCCCTCTCCATCTGACAACGGATCTGTGACTCTTAATCCAGCATTTATTACAATCACTATGGAATCAGTTGCCTTCTATGCAAAGGGCCCACTAAGGTGTGATAGCTGTTTAAAGAAATAGGCGCATTTCTAGGTGTTTGGGTGTCACAAACAACTTTTCACAGGCCTGGTGCATTTTTTCAGCATGCTACTTCTATTTCTTTTGTTTGTGTTTTGGAAATGAAAACTGTCTGAACTGCTTAGAAAGCTGCTTCATATAAACGCCTGCCACTTGTGCCACCTCCATATGGTTGTATTTTTAAGTGCCTACATCAGGGTAGGAAACTGTAATTCTCCAGATGGTTGGGTGGGGGGTCTGTTTTGTTTGTGTGTGTGTGCTTTGTTTGCTTATTTGGCATATATTTCCTATCATCTGTAACCACTACAGCCAGTGGTGAGAGATTAGGGGT